AAGCTCCAGATCGCCGCCAGACAGCCAACTCAGGGTCCACAGAAAGCCCAAGCAGGGCTTTACAAACAAAAGAACTTTTCAAAGGGGGTCCCAAGAGGATGTGCCGAATCCTCAACTCCAAGGCTCCGCCCACTTTGGAGTGTCATCTGTGCTCGGGCACGCGCAGAAGAGGGTTTGGAGAGGATGGCATGTTTCCTAGAAGCACCCCTGCTTCTTAGAAGGCGCTGGCAGCGTCTATAGATGCAAGGCCCGCGCCTTCTAAAAACCATCCTTCTTTAAGAAGCTTTCCCCCCTCCTCCCCCCCTGCCCCCATTGTGTGCGCCGCCAATGTGCCTCGTCCTTCCCTTCGTGGTTGGCAAGGGGCGGCCACCGCGCCAGATTGCCAGCCACATCCAGTCCACCTGGACTTCTCTGATACGGTCAGACCGAGGTGTAAGATCGAGGTCGGTTCGGGGAGGGTACCCCAATGTTCTTCGTGTCTGTTGGATGTTCTTGCGCATCCTGTGGGAGGGTTACCCTCGAATGTTCTTCCGTTTGGCCGGCGGAGGGTCTCATGTTCTTGAAAGGTGTGATGATGCTTTAGGGCCGGCCGTGATAGACGGGGTCAGCCCACCCAACGCTCGGCCACACCACTTGCGCGCCACGCCCCCGCACTAGCCTCGACAAGGCAAGACGAGACGAGATGGTTTCCAAAAAATGACCATTGAGACGGCACGCGATGGTCCTCCAAGAAGCCTCCAGACAGCCACGGGTCGGCCTGAAGGGGCCATGGAACCTCTCCAGGATGGCCCCGAGAGATCAACGACATCGGAAAGTTGGTGCTCCATGAGCTCAATTCACCTCGACGTGTTTCTCTTCGGATGGGCTCTCGTGGCCTCAAGATAGTCCCAAGATCGCCCAAGAGAACCCTAAGACGGGCTCGGGAGCAGCCCACGGCGGCCCCAGAGGGTCCCAAGAGAGGCCCACGTGTGCATCATACCCGTCCAAGCCCTGAAAAGTCAGATAGCGTCAAGCGCCTCCGGCGAGCAACAGGCCGCAAGTCGACCCCACCAGCCCCGACAGTGACCCAGCGGGGAGCCGCAGCAGGGTTCCAGGACCACCCCAAAATGGTTCCAAAGGAGTCTCAAGAGGTCACCCGGATCACCAAATTGAAGCCCCAGATCGCTCTTCATCAAGACTAGGTTAGGCTTATCCCAGATCTGTCAGTCTACCGCTCTTCCTTCACCCTGCCCCTGTTGCTGCTATTGATGGGATTGCTGCTGTCAGACGTATGCTGCTCCCCATCCTCCTGCTGCTACTCCATCCCCTAGGCATCATCCCCCTTCTCATCCTCTCTCCGCCTACCCTATATCGACCTCATCGTCCCTTCGCCCTTCTCCCTCCCCCTCCTGCCTTCACACATACTGGGGTCACATCCTATTCTGCACCAGCCGCACCAGATAGCCAGCCATATCCAGTCCACAGGCAAGCGGGAAGTCCTGCGACGATGAGTTCCCGTAGCAAGGCGTGTGGGCCCCTCCAGTTGAGCAGAGCCTAGGGGTCGGCGTGGGATGACTCTTGAAATTGCCCGAGACGAGCAGACAAGACCAGGCAAGGGAAGACGAGGCAAGGCAAGACGAGACAAGATTGGGCAAGAGGCACCAAGACAAACTCCAGGTCAGCCCAAGATGGCGCCGACACGCCATAAGGGGGCCACCGAGAAGCCAAAATCGTTGACAGTCCGAGGATGATCAATTCTGTCTGCCCTCTCGCATTTCCATCCGAAGGGCTCTTGAGGCCTCGGGATGCCCTCAAGAGGGCCCCAAGAGAGCCCCAAGGCAGGCCCAGGAGGTGTCCAGGGCGACCGCAGAGGCCCTACAAGAAAGCCCCAAGCACATCCAACGAGGAGCAGGAGGAGGAGGAGGAGGCGTAGGGGGAGGGGGATGATGAGGGGGAGGAAGAGGAGGCCCCCTAAGAGAGGCCAAAGAGGAGGTCCCCCGCTGCCCGTCCGAAGTCCCAAGCGGCCAGCTCGCGCCCCTAGAGTGCATTGTGTCCGCGCTGCTCCGTGCTGCGTGCTGCGCGTGGCCGTGGCGCTGTCCACGCTGTCGTCTTCCTCTGCAGCACAGGCGGCTGGCCCTGCCCCATGGCCTGGGGGAACGAACAATGACATAAACATAAAACTTCGGAGGTCCGCGCAGATCTCTTGGATCCGCGCTGGACCCCCCTCCCTAGCGCGCTCCGCGCGCCAGGGGCGGCGCCGGAGGCGCCGCCAGGGGATCCAGCGCGGATCCGAGAAATCCGCGCGGACCTCTGAGTTTTTATGTTTGTGTCATTTCTCGTTTCCATATGGAATCAGCTGGGAGGGCGCTTTTCTTGTTTGATTCGGGCAGGTCCACTTGCATGGCATTTGGCCCCTCCCTGCCCCCCTCTCCACCGCCTTTTCAAGCAATTCTGGGCCGAACACGAGCGCAAGTGAGCCCAGGTTGCGTGAAGTCCAGTTTCCTCTTCGGGCCCCGCCACGCCCCATCCCTCCCCCCTCCATGCGAGTAAACTCGTCAGAATCTAAAGGAAGCTGCTTCCCATAGCGCTAGCAGGGGGTCTGAGGTCGCCCAGCCTTGGCTCCAGCGAGCAGGCGGGGGGGTGAGGCTCGAGGTGCTGGGCCTGCAAAGGTCGTCTGCCCTTTGCGATCCCCGGGGGCTCCAGGCCGTCAAACACGCCTCTGGGGCGAGGAAGGGCACCCGATGGACCCCGGAAGGGCCGGGACCGATCCTGAGTGAATTCGATCGGGGCTCAGGAGACGGGGGTCAGTGCAAACGGGGTCAGCCAGGGCACCGGATCCTGCGAAGACCCCCTCTGGCTGGCTGACCCGGGTGAACGGTCTAACCGTGCTGCTCGGCACCTAGCCCACGAGCATTCGGCACTTAGGATATTACGCCCATATACACACCATTTGGTCAAAAGGAGCCTAAGTGAGGCGACTGAACATAATCGTCGCCTCCTCCTTTTTACGGCTGCTCCTGAGTCTCAGCCGTCCTCATCCTCCTTCTCAGTTGTTCGTTTTCCTCACAAGTCGATGCGGCAGCTCAGCGCGCGCCGAGCTTCCAAGGGAAGTCCGCTTATTACTACTTGTAGTAATATTATCATTATTATTATCATTATCATTATGAGTAGTAGTAGTAGTAGTAGTAGTAGTAGTAGTAGTAGTAGTAGTAGTAGTAGTAGTAGTAGTAGTAGTAGTAGTAGTAGTAGTAGTAGTAGTAGTAACAATGATATTATTATTGATATTATTATTATTCGTTATATTTGTTTTATTATTATTATTATTATTATTATTATTATTATTATTATTATTATTATTATTATTATTATTATTATGAGTATGATTATATATTATATATTAGCTCCAGCGCGTGTGGCGCTCCGAGCTCTTGAACCCCAGACCTGGTCCTCCTGCAGGTCACGTCGTCGTCCAGCGCGCGACGACGGCGCCCCTTCCCGAAGGCCGACTCGACGCTAGCCCCGCCCAGGGGCAAGAGCGCTCCTGTCACGCGCAATCGCCACCCGCTTAGTAGCGCACATGCTACTCCTGTCACGCGCGCCACCACCCTCAGGAGGGGCGGCTGCGGCTCTTCTGGAGGAAGAAGATGGCGGCTGCTGCGACCCCGCCCCGCTCTCATCAACGAGTCGCTGGAGCTCCTCCTCGTCGTGGATGGCAAGATTGCTGGAAATGAGAGCCTTTGCAAACCATGCTCCGCGTTGTCGCATCGCCTCTCGCTTCGCGCTGCCATCCAGCTCCAACATCAACTTGCCCCTGTACTCAGGGCTGAGCTTCCGCCAGGCACGACCCGCGGCCCTCGAAAACATGCGCTGCTGTGTACTCCAGTGCATGAACGCCCAGAGTTCTAGACACGCTTGGTTTCCCAACCACTCCTGCGTCTCGCTGTCGATGTCGCCCTCTGCCACCGCTTGGTCGTAGGCGCCTTCTTTTCCCAAGCGTCGCACCATCGCATCGTGCTTCGCCACGGTAGCCGAACTCGACGTGGGCCGAAACCACACATGCCACCAGGCCGCCCAGAGGTCCCACGGCCACGAGATGCAGGATGGCCAGAGCTTCTCGAGGCGGCGCTCTGGCTGCCGCCGCCGTTGCTCCTCGACGCGAGTGTCTCGAGGATTCGCCCTCACCTCTCCAGCACGGGACTCTCGACGGTTCGTCCTCACCTCTCCAGCACGGGACCCTCGAGGATTCGTCTTCACCTCTCCAGCACGGGACCCTCGAGGATTCGTCCTCACATCTCCAGCGCGGGACCCTCGAGGATTCGTCCTCGCCTCTCCAGCACGAGAGCCTCGAGGCGTCCGATGATTTGCCCTCGCCTCTCCAGCGTGGGAGCTTGGAGGATTTGTCCTCGACTCTCCTGCGCGAGAGCCCTTCGTCCGGTCCCAAGATTGGTGCATTGGTTTCTGGCTATCGCGGCCGACGGGCGGGCGGGCTCGCTCTGAGCCGAAAAAGCTATGGTCGGAGTTCGTTGTCCGTCTCCGTCGTGCGGGCGGCGGCACTGGGGCCATCGGTCCGGCGGAGCTCCGCTTCAGAACGCGTGAGGGGCGTGCCGGATTGATTGGGTGGTCGTCTCGAAGATGGCTCGCCAGAGCGGGCCAGGAGGAGCAGCGACAGCAGGTCGAGGACGAGGAGCAGCTCCAGGCCGCGGGCGCGGCGCAGCCCGGACCAAGGTGGCGAGGCAGCCTCGGGTCCCGGAGAGGCGCTGAACCCCGGCCAGGCAGGCCAGAGAGCGGCAACTGCTGCTGGCAGCCATGCAGGCGCGGCGGGCGCTCGCGAGGAGCACCGCCTGCGAGGACCTGCGCAGAGCCGCCGCTGGAGGAAGCTACTCGCCAGCGCAGGGAGGCCGGGGGGGCGGCCACGGTTCGAGCTAGTCATGATGTTCTACGAGGCGGTGCGCGGTACCCCATGAGATGTCGGGAGGTTTGTTCGTGGCGCTTCGCCAGTACAGCGAGCGCGCCGCGCGCGGATGCTCGAGGTGCTGCCGCTTCCCATTCCTGACGCTCCTGGGTTTATGAGGTGCCGTGCAGAGTGGCTGGACCATGGTACGGTCCCCGAGACTGGCCTGGATGCTGCAATCGCTGAGGGCTGGGCAGTGCTGGTCGTGCACTCCCTGAACCACCAATCTGCTGGGCACGCTAAGGGCAGCCCAGTCCCCACTGGCCCTCTTACGGCGGCGCAGGAGAGCTCGATGCGTGTCATTTGCAAGGCTGCCAAGTACTTCGCCGCAGACTCCGCGAAGGACTTCCAGGCTCCGGACTGGCATGAGGTCGTTGCTGCACGTGATATCACGTACGGAGGCGAGGAGGTATCGCGGGCCCTGCCGCTCACGCTGGGAGGTGTCATGCCAGGCCTCCCGCCGAGAGGCGTTGCTGCTTCAGTGCGTGCGCTGGACATCGCCGACGAGCGCGTGGCTGGGTGGCTGGCTGATCCCACGTTGGCACTGCTGCCCAAGGCCGAGTGGCCGGAGGAGGTCCCGCGGGCAGCCATCCAGGCTAGCTCGAAGGCGGAGTGGCATCGCATTGGCGCCAAGCTGGTGGAGTTAGGCCACGCGGTGCCCATCGCCGATGACCGGATCTTCAAGGTGGGCAACAGGAAGGTGCTGGCAGGTGCTTTCGGGGTCGCCAAGGGAGGAACTCCCACTCCTGGTCATGATGTGGCGCAGCGGCTCATCACCAACATGGCCCCCGCAAACGGCTACCAGCGGACGATGCGGGATGACATCGGTACCCTCAGCGCCTCGCCGTCGTGGGTCTCGATTCCACTTCCTGAGGGACATGCGCTGCTGCGGTCCCCCGACGATCGGGCATCGGCATTCTACTGCTACGAGTTGCCCGAGGCGTGGCAGCCATACATGACCCTAGCTGAGGCGATCCCCAACGAGCTCATCGGGGTCAACGGGGCAGGGAAGACGCACATCGCTTTGCGTGTCATCCCGATGGGCTGGGTCAATGCTGTCACAGTCTTCCAGCGCTGCCATCGGCGGCTCGGCTTTGGGCTGAAGCCACTTGCTGCAGTGTTCCCGCCCCAGGCTGAGTGGAGGAAGGACCGCCCTTTGCCCCTGAGAGCGAAGGAGCTGCAGCAAGCCTGGGTGCAGTATTACACCGACGACTGGGACCACGGGGAGATCGTCCAGAGTAGCCGCCTGAACGAGCTGGGCGGCACGCTGAGCGAGGTCCAGGCTGAGCAGCGAGCCGCCTACAAGAGGAGAGGCATCCAAGTTGCTGAAGGCAGGGCCAAGCACCGCGAGCTCGTCCTGGAGCGCATGGGAGCTGGGCTAGACGGCATGGTCGGGCGAGTCGGAGTCACAGTTGAGAAGCAGCTCCTGCTCTTAGCGCTCGTGATGTCGGTGATGGGCCAGCCTCAGGTCACGGTCAAGGCAATGCTTGTGGTGCTGGGCCGCTGCGTGCGCGTGGCGGAGGTCCGCCGGCCGTTCATGGGGTTCCTGAACGAGTGCTGGGCGGATGGGCAGTGGCGGTGCCCGCAAGCTGTGCCCTCTGTCATGTGCGGCGAGCTCCTGGTCTTCTGCATGGCCCTCCCCCTAGCTGTCACCGACTTGCGGGCCAAGATCGACACGGGGGTGATTGCCACGGATGCGAGCGAACAGGCGGGCGGCATCAGCCATTCTGCTGGTCTCACCGCTCGGGGAGCGCAGGCCGCCACAGGCGAAGGAGGACTGTGCGAGGAGGCCGTGCACACCACCTTCGCTGCGCCTCAGATGATACGATGGCGGCCCCGCGTCATTTCAGTGGAGTTGTTCGCCGGGGCTGCTGCCGCTGCTGTGGCCGCGCATCGCCTGCCCATGAGCGTGGCCGCCCACCTCTGCTCGGAGGTAGAGCCGGCAGCGCGACGGCTGGCGCGGCGGCGGCGGCCAGGTGTCATTGAGCTGGGCAACGTCGAGGCCTTGGACCTTGCGCGCTTCACCTTCATGCTGGAGGGCTTCAGGCGCGACGCAGACTGGGTCTTCATTACTGCAGGGAGTCCGCGTCAGGATCTCTCTGCCTTCAACGTGGTGGGCAAGGGCCTGGAAGGGGACAGGGGCAAGTTATTCTGGAAGGTCCCTGCCCTCATCGAAGCCTCCCAACGCGTGTTCGGCACGATTGGTTCGTCGAGAACGCGTTCAGCATGGGCGCCGAGGCAAGGGGCCAGTTCTCGCAGGCGCTGGGCGTCACGCCTGTGCTGTTAGAGGCGAAGGACTTTACCAGGGTGCGCAGTCCCCGTCTTTTCTGGTGCTCCTGGCCCGCCTACAGTCACCTTCCGCACGGCGCAAGCATCGAGGTGAAGAGCGAGGGCATCAGTCAGCATACCAAGGTTGAGGTCAGCGTGGAGCGCGCAAGTGCTGACCTTTGGCCACTGCCAGGTTGGAGTCTGGACGACCCTGAGCTGGACCTCCCTTGCTTCACCAGGCCAGTACAACGGCGACGCCCGCCGCTGAGGCCTGTCGGCCTGGAGCGTGCCAGCCCCACTGCGCTGGCGCGCTGGGCCGCAGATCAGCACCGCTATCAAGTCAACAATTATGAGGATGCCGTGCTGCTTTGGAGCGCCGATCGAGCGCAAGGTAGGCTCCCTGGTTTGATAGGCGGCACTTTGAAGCAGCCGTCAAGGACAGCGTCCCCTCGCAGAAAGAGACATCATCATGGAATGCCTTGTCGGTAATACGTTCTGTGTCAAGTGCGTTATGTTTTTTTTTTTTTTTTTTTTTTTTTTTTTTTTTTTTTTTTTTTTTTTTTTTTTTTTTTTTTCGGCGGCTGGCTGGCTCAAATTGGGGCTGCTCCGCTTCCCGCCGAGCTGTGTTTGCAAGTCGGCGTGCGGGAGCCCAGCTGGAACATCGACGCCGATTTCAAGACTCCTGACTACAGGCACGCTACCGCTGAGCGGGGGCTCATCGTCGACTTCTTGCGCATAGCCGATCGGGGGGGCACGGACGTCAGGCTTGACTGTGGTGCCCCGTACCGAGCTCGGGCGTGGCCAAGGTCGGCTCTGCGGACGTCGCTGTGGGCTTGGCGCATTGCCAAGAGTTTCAAGTGGCAGCGACCAGCTCACATCTCTAAGTCGGAGCTGAAGGCCGCAGTGGCTGGAGCCAGGTGGCGCTGCAGAGACGTGGCGAAGCACGGCTGCCGCTACCTGCATCTTCTCGATGCCCAAGCGGTGCCAGCATTCTGCACGAAGTGCAGGTCCAGCGCCTGGCGGCTCCAGCCAGGGACCAGGCGCCTCAATGCGCTCACGCTCGCGACCAACTGCTACCCGATGCACGGCTACTGCGACACGGACGACACGCCCGCGGACGCCCCCTCCCGGTGGACAGGGGCGCGCAGCGGCCAAGGTGAGGATAGTGGCAGCGAAGGCTCTGGCGCGAAGGACGGCCGCCCGCAGCAGGCCCCTGCGAGAGCTGGCGGTCACCCCTCTCGCGCGGAAGCGCTACCAGGAGGCGGTTGACAGCGTCTTTGACTGGTGGGTCGAGCAGAAGCGCGAGGTCCAATCTGCAGCGCAAGCGGACATGGGCCTGGTTGACTACATTGAAGGGCGCTGGGCCGCAGGAGGGTCCTTGCTCGACGTCAACTGTGCTATCGCAGGTATGTGCCACCACTTCCCCCCGCTCCGCGGTCGACTCCGAGAGATTTGGCGCCTGGCTCGCACGTGGCAGCGTGCTGAGCCGGCAGGGCGCGCGCTCCCAATCGCACCGCTCATCGCACTTGCGTTCTCCAGCGGCTTTCTCACGGCTGGATTCCCAGCCGCCGCCGCCATCCTGCTGGCAGCCTATGACACGTACCTCAGGACAGGGGAGATCTTGGCGTTGCGTTGGCACGACATCACTATTTATGAAAATTCAGGCTCAGCCATGATCAGGCTGCGCGATACCAAGAGCCAGCACCACACGGGAGCGGGAGAGTTCGTCATGGTGCGCTCGCAGACGGCAGTGGCGCTGCTACTGAAGGCACGCGAGCTGGCAGGGACTGCCAGCCGGTGCGAGGAGCCAGCCATTGGCATGCCGCCCGCGGCTTTCCAGCGAGTGTTCGCGGAGATCCGCTCGCGCCTCCAGCTGGAGGACCAGAGGCTCACCCTCTACAGCTGGAGGCGAGGAGGCGCCAGCGCCGACTTCCGCTCGCACGGGTCGATGGAGACCACGCTGCTCCGAGGGCGCTGGGCCAGTGTGCGGACGGCGCGCCTGTACGTCCAGGACGCCGTCGCTGGGGCGACGACGCTCGCGCTGCTGCCAGACCAATGGGCCGCCTGCCTACATCTGGCAAGCCGAGAGAGGTAAACACGCCGCTCGTTTTTTGCCCTCCCTTATCGTACCTCTCTGTTCCCATCTTGATCAACCTTCGATGAGGTGAGGGTCTCGGGTCACGGTGGTGGAGTTCGCTGCACAGCCAGTTTAGGGTCCGTGGAGCCAGAACCTCGCCCCCGACAGGCTCTCCCAGGGGGGGGCGGCCTTGCGCCTCCCGAGGTGCCCAAGCGTGCTCCTCCTGGCTGGTGCTCGCCAGCTTGGGGGGGGGGAACACGCTTGGCCCTCCTCCTGGGGAGGCCTGTCGGGGGGGGGGGGCTCGGCCCTGACCAAGCCGACTCTTGGCGGAGCGCTAAAAACAGGGTGTGGGGTTAGCATATCATATGTGTCCTTGAAAAGGGGCCTATGCGGCTCCCAGACCCCAGGAAGCGCTCGCCGTTTAAACCACGTTTAAACCCGCAGTCACTTTGGCCCGCCCGACAACGATCGGCGTGGCCTCTTGCGGGGCTGGTGTGTCTGGCGGTCCTCGGCGCCTTGAGCCCCTCGGGATCCGCCTTGAGCCAGAACCTCGCCCCCGACAGGCTCTCCCAGGGGGGGGGCGGCCTTGTGCCCCGAGGTGCCCAAGCGTGCTCCTCCTGGCTGGTGCTCGCCAGCTTGGGGGGGGGAACACGCTTGGCCCTCCTCCTGGGGAGGCCTGTCGGGGGGGGGGGGGCTCGGCCCTGACCAAAGCGACTCCTGACGGAGCGCTAAAAACAGGGAGTGGGGCTAGCACCTATATATATATATATACACAAATGTATGTATACATATTTTTTTATACATATATGTATATAGACATATATATCATACGTCCCCCCCCGCCCGGGGTGTGCCACACCTCTCCCCCACTTCTGCTGCGGAACGCTCCCGGCACCGCGCCGCCCAGCCTCTTGGGGAGCCTCCAAAACGCCTGAGGACAGCCCAAGACGACCCCAAGAAGCCTCCGCCCAGAACGTAAAAGAGCAGCCCAAGACGCTGCCAAGCAACCCAAGATAGCATTCGGGCGGCTCTCGAGGCTCCCAGGAGGCTTCCAAGAGACTCAAGAGAGCTCCGAGAGGCCTCCCGAGAGCGCCTGGAGAACCTAAAATCGTTAGTTTTCACTGTGTTGTTTTGTTGTATTTGGCCTTCTCACCATTTCATGCTTCCAGCGCTCCAAGACGGCCGAAGAGGCCCCCAAGACCGCCCCAAGACCGCCGAAGAGGCCCCCAGGACGGCCCCAAGACGGGCCAAGAAGACCAAACAAATACGCCCCCCGCCCCCCGGAGGTCCCACACCTCCCCGTGACATCTGCGGAACGCTGTCAGTACCGCGCCGCCTGGCCTCCCGGGGAGCCCCCTAGACGCCCAAGGACAGCCCAACACGACCCCAAGAAGCCTCCAGAGCGTAAAAGAACAGCCCAGCACGCCGCCAAGCAACCCAAGATAGCCTTCGAACGGTTCTCCAGGCTCCCAGGAGGCCTCCAGAAGACTTCAAGAGAGCTCCAAGAGGCCTCCCGAGAGCGCCTGGAGAACCTAAAATCGCTAATTATCATTGTTTTTGTTCGAGATTGCGAAGGCTTTGCGGCCAGGGCCGCCGACACTGAAAGGCGACGACGACGACGACGACGACGACGACGACGACGCCGACGACGAGCGATCTCTGGTGCCTCTTGGGGCTTGCTTGGGGGCCTTTTGGGAGGCTCTTCAGGGCCGCTTGGGTGCCTCGTGGGGGCCTCTTGAGGCTTCCTGGAGGTCTCTTGGGGGCCTCTTGGGGCCTCTTGGGGTGCTTCTTAGGGGCCTCTGGGGGCTTCCTGGGACATTTCCAGACCGAGGGCTTGAAATGACCGTTCGGGTCCCTCGTCTGGGCTCCCTCTTGGAGCCGTCTTGGGGACCTATTCGGCTGTCTTGGAGGCCTCTTGGAGGCCTCTTGGGCCATCTTGGGGCGGTCTTGGGGGCCTCTTGGCCTGTCTTGGAGCGTCGGGAAGTTGACAAGGCGAGAATGCCGGAATCTTTCTAAAACCTAGGGGAACTCTATGATTGTTGCCCCTAGGGCCCTCTTGGAAGTCCTCTTGGAGGCCTCTTGGGGCGTTTGCGGAACCTTTTGATCCGTCTGGAGGCTACTTTGGCGACTTGGACCGATGCTTCGGTGATTCGGGGCCGAGCACCGTCTTGGAGGCATCTTGGGGCACTTCTGCGACGAGTTAAACGGAACAGCCTCTTCCACACGCCGACAGGGTCGGCGGATTTTTTTGCCTTCTCACCATTTCATGCTTCCAACGCTCCAAGATAGCCGAAGAGGCCCCCAAGACCGCCCCAAGACCGCCGAAGAGGCGCCCAAGACGGCCCCAAGACAGGCCAAGAAGACCAAACAAATACGCCCCCCGCCCCCCTGGAGGTCCCACACCTCCCCGTGACATCTGCGGAACGCTCTCGGTACCGCGCCGCCCAGCCTCCTGGGGAGACCCCAGAACGTCCAAGGACAGCCCAACACGACCCCAAGAAGCCCCCAGAGCGTAAAAGAACAGCCCAGCACGCCGCCAAGCAACCCAACATCGCCTTCGAACGGCTCTCCAGGCTCCCAGAAAGCCTCCTAAAGACCTCAAGAGAGCTCCGAGAGGCCTCCCAAGAGCGCCCAGAGAACCTAAAATCGTTAATCACCATTTTTCTTTTGATGATTTTGGCCTTCTCACCATTTCATGCTTCCAACGCTCCAACACGGCCGAAGAGGCCCCCAGGATCGCCCCAAGTCCGCCCAGGAGGCGCCCAAGACGGCCCCAAGACGGGCCAAGAAGGCCCCAAGACTGCCAAAGAGGCCCCAAGAAGGACAGCCCCAGACCACCCCAGAACAGGCCCAAGATGTGCCCAAGAGCGGGAGCAGGAGGCCTCCAGAGACCTCCGAGCGGCCCAAGAAGGCCCAAGGGGGGCCACGGCAATTATGTACCACCAGGCCCTCGGTTGGTACATGACTTTCGGAGCCCTCTTTGGGCCACTTGGGGCCTCTCTTGAGGCCTCCACGGGAGAATTCTCGAGGCCCCCAGAGCCTGCGGAGGTCCGCAAAAAGGCCGCAGGATGGGCCCGAAAAGGCCGGAAGACGGCCCTGGGAGATCTCCAGACGGCCAAGGAGGGCCGCGGCGATTGAGCACCACCGGGCCCTCGGTTGGTACATATACCCGGGGCGCTCTTGGGACCATCATTGGCATCTCTTGGAGCCTCCATGGTGGATTTCTCGGAGCCTCCATCGGGGATTTCTCGGAGCCCCCAGAGCCTAGAGAGGTCCCCAAGAGAGCCTCGAGATGGCCCCAAATAGTCTGGAAGACGGCCCTGGGAGATCTCACGAAGGTGCACGGAGGGCCCCGGCAATTATGTACCACCAGGCCCTCGGTCGGTACATAACTTTCGGGACCCTCTTGGAGCCTCCACCGGAGAATTCTTGAGGCCCCCCCTGCCCCAGGGGTCCCACACCTCCCCGGAACATCTGTGGAACGCTCCCGGTACCGCGCCTCCCGGCCTCCCGGGGAGCCCCCAAAACGCCCGAGGACAGCCCAAGACGACCCCACGAAGCCCCCAGAACATAAAATAATATTCTAAGACGATCCCAAGCAACCCAAGATAGCCTTCGGACGGCTCTCCAGGCTCCCAGAAAGCCTCCAAGAGATCTCAAGAGAGCTCCGAGAGGCGCTCGGAGAACCTAACATTGTCAATTTCCACTTATCGTTTTGATTTGTTTGGCCTTCTCACCATTACATGCTTCCATCGCTCCAACACGGCCGAAGAGGCCCCCAAGATCGCCCCACGACCGCCCAGGAGGCGCCCAAGACGGCCCCAAGACGGGCCAAGAAGGCCCCAAGACTGTCAAAGAGGCGCCCAGGACAGCCCCAGACCACCCCAGAACAGGCCCAAAATGGGCCCAAGAGCGGGAGCAGGAGGCCTCCAGAGACCTCCGAGAGGCCTCCGGGACTCCCCAGAGGCCCCCAACACACCCCAGACCCTTGAGAGGCCCCAACAGCCTCCACGAGGCCCCCAAAACAGCCCAATCCGACTTCCTAGCCATCTTCATTCGCTCGAAGTCGGGGAAAGGCCGCTGCCCCGAAGACACCCAAGTCGCTGGTTTCAATGTTTGTTCGAGGTGTTTGGTTGTCTCGCGTTTTCGAGCTTCAACGCTAGGGGTCCAAAAGTGGCCCCCAAACAGCCCCCCAGAGGCTCCAAACTGCCTCCCAAGAACCCCCTGCACGCCTCCCCCGATTTCTGCGTACTACATGTGAGGACCCATTTGAAAACAAAAATAATTCCAGTCAATCTCTTTGTGTTCAGTTCATCACGAGCCCCCCCAAGACTTCGGGGTCACATGCAAATATGTTTCCGGAATGCTCTTGAACTCTCTGACGCTTTCTTGGCACCTTCTTGGGTCGTCTTCGTGTTTCTTGACTGCCCCTGGGACCACCGTAGAAATCGAGATCCCATGATCCCATAAGTTGGAACAAATGAACTTCAGACTTCCTGTTTGTTCAAACTCCCCCTGCTTATTCTTGCAAGAAGACCCCGAGATGCATCCCAACAGACCGTGGCTTGCATCCAGAAATCTTCTAACCCACAGCACATGCACGGCATCTGGAAGAAAAAATGGCAATAGCACAATTCCCTCCTTTTTGTTCAAGTTTGGCCCCATTTCTATTCTTGCACAACAGACAACAATTAAGGCCCCCCCCTCATCTCCCAGAAAAGAACCCATAAGGCTTTTGAGGTCCCCAAATCGTTGAATACCGAAAGGAATGTAATGATTCCTGCGCTTCGGCACTTCCCTTCTATACGATTCCGAGGCTTGCGCAGGGCCTCCAAGAGAGCCCCTGGATGCAAGAACTATCAAAAAAAACGATTCTATGGGTTAGCATTTAAAGTCTAGCTGGAACTTGAGCGCGGGCGACGCGCCTGCGATGGTTCTAGTGTGTATACATATATATATATATATATATATGAATATATATATATGTGTGTGTATATATATATATATACATATAGGTCCCATCCCTCCGCCTCCTTCTCCCTCATCCTTTCCTCCCTCTCATCTACCTCCCTCATTTCCAGTCATCCCCCTTCCTCGCTCATCATCCTCCTCCCCTTGCTCCTCCTCCCCTGTCCTGGGCGACCAGACTTGTTCTTCAGGAGGCGGTGAGCGTAAGTGCAGCACCCCGTCCTGACCACTCGGCAGTGCCCAGGAGCCTCCAGAGGCTCCTGCAGAGGTTGCCAGAGGCTTCCAGAGCGTTCAAGTCAAAGTCAGGCCTTCAGAATCGTCGAGTGCCGCTCCTCGAGCATCCTTTGGCGGCGCGCACAAAGGGCTAGCGCGATGGGGGCGGCCTTCTAAGAAGGCGGGGGGCTCTACGAAGGCACGGGCCTTCTTAGAAGCCATCCAGGCGGCAGAGCCTCCAGGCCCTTTGAAAACCTCCAGGCCCTTTGAGAAGGCCCCCGCCTTCTAAGAAGCGCGCCGCCTTCTTAGAAGGCCCCCGCCCCTCGCCCCACCCGCCTGTGCGCCGACAAATCCTGGGCAGCATTTCGCAGGAGGAGGCCTCCGCCTCCTCGTCTTCCTCCTCCTTCTCATCCTCCTCCCTTTTCCTCCTCCGTTCCCTCCTCCTTTTCCTTCTCCATTCCTCTTCCTTCTAAACAATTCCTCCTTGTCGCACCAGCAGGAGGAGGAGGGGAGGAGGGCCTCGAGGAGCCTACGGGACGCCAAGATAGCAGCGTTCGAGGTGGTGCAGAAGCGGCTGGCCTCCCAGGATACCGACGCCGCTATTCCTCGTCTTTTTCCTCGTCGTCCGTGTCCTTCTCCACGCGCTCCCCGTCAGAACACCATCACCCCTCTAATCAGTCCTCTGCCCCTCCTCCCCATGTTCCTCCTTTTCCAACTCTAGTCCTCCTCCTCCTCCTCCTCCTCCTCCTCCTCCTCCTCCTCCTCAGTCCTCCTCATCCTCCTCCTCCTCCTCCTCATCCTCCTCATCCTCCTCTCGTCATCCTCCTCTACCTTTCGTTCTCCTGGCCCTAACCCCCCGCCCTCCAATGACCCCGACGACAACGGCGGCGGCCGCGGCGGCGGCGGCGGCGGCGACGAGGACCACCACCACCACCACGACCACCACCACCACCGCCACCACCACCACCACCACCGCCACCACACCTCCGCGCGCCCGCCACCAGGACGCCCGCAGTCCCCGAAAGGGCCGCCAGCAGGTCGAGCAGCAGATCCGAAAGCTGGAGATTGCCCTGCAGACCGTCCAGAAGGCCCCGAACAAGTCGCAGCGCTCAGTTTTGCATTATGTTCTACCACCGGGAGACCTCTACGGGCCCCGGGACCGTCAGAACACGATTCGCGTATCGAACAACAAATCAACGGCCGGATGTCTGGGGAGCGAGAGAAGAGGAGGAGGAGGAGGAGGAGGAGGAGGAGGAGGAGGAGCGAGGAGGAGGAGGAGGAGGAGGAGGAGAGGCGGCGGCGGCGGAGGCGGAGGAGGAGGAGGAGGAGGAAGGAGGAGGAAGGAGGAGGAGGAGGAGGAGACGAGGAGGAGACGAGGAGACGAGGAGAAGAGGAGCAGGAGGAGGAGGGAGGGAGGAGGGAGGAGGGAGAGGGGAGGAGGGAGGAGGAGGGAGGAAGGAGAGGGGAGAGGGGAGGAGGGAGAGGGAGGAGGGAGGAGGGGGAGGGGGGAAGGAGGAGGGAGGAGGGTGGAGGGAGGAAGGGGGGAGGAGGAGGAGTACGAGGAGAAGGAGGAGGAGGAGGAGGAGGAGGAGGAGGAGGAGGAGGAGGAAGGGGAGGAGGAGGAGGAGGAGGAGGAGGAGGAGGAGGAGGAGGAGGAGGAGGAGGAGGACTACTGTTCGTTGGGCCACTGATGGTGCGTGGGTCCACCGGGATGGCGAGGGGGCCCGCCCAATGAAGCTCCGCCGTGCCCGAAGGCTTTGGGGCCGCATCGCCACGGTGTCGGGTAGTGTGGGGGCCAGGAACGGTGCGTAGGGGGGGACGGGAGGGGGGAAAAGGCGGGACGGGGAACGCGGGGGTGAAGTGGGAAGGGAAGCGGGGCGAAGGGGGGCGTGGCGGGCGATAAGGATAGGCACAATTTGGGCGTTGGGTCGAGCCCCCTTGTAGGGCCACGAGACGTGTGAGGGGTGTGCCGGAATGCGTGGCGGGGACGTATGCGGGGGGCACCATGTCGGTTTGTGGATCACCCTATGGGCCCACGAAAAGTTGGAGGGGTGTGCCGATTTGAATGGCGGGGGCCCTGGGTGTGGCTCCCTATGGGGCCACGGACCGTGTGAATAGTGTGCCGGCATTTGATGGCGGGGACGCATGCGGGGGGCACCATTTGTGCTTTGTGTGGCGCTCCCTATGGGGCCACGAAGCGTGTGAGGGGTGTGCCGACATGCGTGGCGGGGACGCATGCGGGCGGCACCATTTGGGCCTCGGGTTGGGCTCTCTGTGGTGACACGAAACGTGTGAAAATGGCTGACTGGTTCAGGGGGTAGAGGCAGGGATGGGAGGAGGGAGGAGCACAAGGAAAGGAGGAAGGAACGCTTGGCGCTGCCTCTTCAAAACGAAGGCCCAGCACCACAGAGAGGTTGGGAAAAACTTACGACGCACGGTTGCCCAGCTGACCCTCAGACCACTGGCCAACCAGCACCGACGTCCCTTCTTAATGTTGGTAAATGTGACGTGATATTTTGTGGCGCGCAGTGTTGGTTAAGGAGTTCTGGCCAACGAAAACATGGCAGCACGCACGATGCGCGGCACGTGCGCGCGCCGCCACCTGCACATGTAAAAATCAAGTGGGGAGCATGGGCGGCCTAACACTTTGAAGAACAAGCTACTCAACACCTATCAGAGCCATGTGTCTTGAACACCAGCAAGTTGCCAGATTTCTGCAGCCGCATTCGCTGAAATCAGAAGGAGGCCGTAGGTTTTGGGAGCGCATGCGTGCGCATGTCGGCAAGCCGACAAGGAAAGACAACCAACGCGCGCTCACCAATCGCGTCAACTAATACTATGCGGCGTCGCGCTTGCGCGTCTCCGTGTGCGTACGTCGACGTGCGTCCAATACCATTGGTTATTTAGGCATTTGAGCTCAGAAGTGCTTCGAACATACGACCATCATGCATTTGTGTCTCAAAAGTGTTTCAAACGCTACGCCAGAGAATACTGGAGTTTTTGTCGGGCGCACTTCGTCATCAGCCTCATTTGGATGATCGTTATCATCATCGCCATCGTCATCGTTAGCATCATCATCACCACCAACAGTATCATCGTTATCATCGTCATTGTGGTTATCTTCACCGCCGTCATCATCGTCATCGTCGATGTCGTCGCCCTCGTCCAGGTCTGGTGCGCGTGCATCGCTGTCACCCTCAACAGCACCATCGCGATCATCGCCGACCTCGTGATCATTGCCAATTCTCATGTCCATTATCGTCGACATCGTCCCCACCGCCGCAAAGAACGTGTTCAACACCATCGCTTGCACGAGCGGTGGAGGTGGTCGCGCGCGGATGTTGACAACATGACTTGCACTAAAAGGCTTGCACCACATACGTTGCACCGTATGGGTGGCACCGCGTGGACTGCACTGAATTGCTGGCGACACAGACATCAAGCTTACCATGCAGTGGTCGTTGGCCGACGCTCCGGCAGATTAGCATCACATCGAACTTTTCAGCTGGCGTGTCGGGGAAACGCGCGGATGTGGGCCAGATCCGGGGCCCCAGGTGGGCCGCAAGCCCTTGCGTTCCCCGCTCCAGCCTCGGCGAACAGCGCCAGCGTCGACGAGAATTTCGGCACGCGCCCATGAACACACGTTTGCATCTGCAGCCGTCTGTATGCACGTGAACGTGTATACATGTATATACATGTGTGTATACACAGCTTGTACATACACTCATGTCGTCTGTTAAGAAACTCACTTTTTTGAGCTGGGTCTCAGAAATTCTTAAACGAAAATAGGGGATTCGAAAAAGCTGGGACCAATTTCTTAAGTTCGATCGTTGTGGGTGGTGCTGGATACATATACATATATACATGTATACGCATACAGATGCATACATGTATATATGCATACATATCTGGATGCACATACATGTGCACACAGATGTATATCGCATCCAGGGTGCAATCACGCACCCGCTGGGGCCCACGCTGGACGCACTCTCGCACGTGCTGACACCGTAACAAAAACAATGTCAGCACACGTGCCAGATGCACACGTGCCAGACGCATGTTCGACACCGCCCCCTCCGCGAGGAGGAGGAGGAGGAGGAGGAGGAGGAGGAGGAGGAGGAGGAGGGGGAGGAGGAGGAGGGGGAACACGTCGGGTACATGTTCGTCCCCCCCCCACTGCGGCGCAGACGGAACGTGAACAAAGGCATGTCACATGCACACGTGCCGAGCGCATGTTTGGCACCACCCCTTCCGCGGGCGCATGTCCGCGTCTAGAGGACCCGCCGGCTGCATGTTCGACACCCCCCGCCTTGGCGCAACCACACTCGGAAGGACGCGTCGCATGCACACCCCGCAGACGCATGCTCGACGCATGTGAACACACGTGCCGAGTGCACGCACGTGCCAACCGCATGTTCGACAACCCCCGTGGGGGCCCCAGCGTCAGCACATACAGAAACACGTGCCGCATGCATGCCGGGGCGCACACAGGAAAACCCCCAGGCGCCCACCCTCCTCGCGCATATTTTTGTTTCGCGTGCCGGTGCAGTCCGACGCACCCTGGTTCACCTGCCTGCCAGAAGTCGTCGGAGGAGATGCCACCCCGTCCACGAGGCTTGGCGTTCACCACGCGGCCCCGGGCGTTTACTGCACAGCCCTTCCCCGTCCGATTCCTCCCCCTTGGGTGCGTTTGCCAAACGGGCACTGGCTCGTCGGGGTGCTTACTAGGAGGGTGGACCTTCTGCTCCCCGAGAAGTTCGACGGACCAAGAGGGAACCTCGGACCGGACCCCTTCCCAGGAATAATGTCCTGGACGACGTGCAGTCGGGTCGCTGAGGAAGGAACCCTTCTCGTTGGGGAGGGGCTCAGTGCTCCGTGATGGTTTCGTGATTGTTCTCCGGCTTCCCTTAGGTTTCCCATGGAGAATCAAAATGAAATGTCTGGAACAAATGGGGCGTCGTTCCGTGCTGAAGGTTCCGTATGACAGCGTCTCTGCTGCACCAGAACCCGGGGAGGGGTCGAGGCTTGGGGGGGCGCCCACGCTGCGCAACGGTCTCGCCGTCGGAGGGCCAGGACCGGCGGTGCAACGCCGGGGCTCCAACATTCCAGGGAGGAAAACCCCCCGACCCCCCCCGAATCGGCGATGGTTCAAGTGGCTCACGCCCCTCCGCCGCCACCCAGCAGGAGCGAGTGTCTGAGACGATGGTGGAAACTAGCGGTGCAGCCCAGGGGCTCCAGCAGTCAACGGAGGAGAAGCCACCCCGACACCCATGATTGGCGTATACGAGACGCCCCTGGGCGTTAACTAAACCAGCACTGCCCTGTTCGATTCCTTCCTTGGGCGCGTTTACTACACGGCTTCGCTTGGGGTGCTTACTCTAAGGGTGGAATTCTGCTCTCTGAGCATGAGCAGTCGGCGACTTGATTCCCGATTGTTCGCGTGCCCTTTCCTTCTCCTCCCTCAGGTCTCCGACGTCGGGAATAGTTTTCAGAGTGGGCCCCTGGAGGTCTGGTCGTCTCCCCAGGGCTGGTGTCTCTCTCCCGTGCAGCTTTCCCACGGTCCCGAGGCCTGGTGAAGGACCCCGGACCCTGGCGGCACAAAATCTGAAAGCAGCGCCCTTAGTGTTCTTTTCGCAGCCGCCGAAGGTCCCGACGCCTTAGCTGCCCTGATGCGCCCGTCTTGTAGCACAGCACGTGCAGTGCTCAAAACGTACGTGGTGGCACGTTGCGTGTTGGCTCAGCGTGTTGGCCCACGTGTTGGCGAATGTGTTACGCCAGGCCGTGCTGAGCTCCGTGCCGACACGCTACGCGTTCTGTGTTGCGTATCGCGGCAGTTAAGGTGGGCGCCTCCCCCTCTCCAAACGCATGCTGCACAACAGCCACGAACTTCAGGGCCACCGCTGTCCCTGCAGCGGCGCGCGCGCGTGAGAGTGTTGCGCGCCGAGCAGCCTCTGGAGAGGGGCTCTCAGAGAGGGTCGAAGACCTGTCCCTAGGCTTAAGTCGGGCCTGTCCCTCTACAGGAGGAATATTCCAAAATAGTCAAGAAATAGTCAGGGGAGGATGTTTTACCATTTTTGATTACTCT